TAAGAAATATTAAAAAAATAACTCTATTAACACCTAATTAATTAATTTTTAATTAATCCTTTTATACTCTTTTTTGATTATTATTATTTTTTGCTAATAGACAATATTTGAAATACATTTTTAATGCCTTATTCTTATATTATCTCATTGAAGACACTCATTTCATTAATAATTTATTTCTCAATATAAAGTCTACATCTTCAATATTTCTATTATATAAAAGGAGGTGTGTTGATACTTTTCTAATTTGTTTGTTTCTTTTCATAATACCGGTTATTTTCATAAAACGAAACAAAAACGTCTTCTTGTAAATTTATTAAGAGGTAAAGAATTATTAACATTCAATAAAAGGGTAAAATAATAATAATTTTTCCTAAAAAGTCTAATCCAAAGGATAAAAGATACTTGTGAAAATTTTAAATTCCCCATAAAAAAGTACTTAATTTCTAGAATTGTAATGAGGTTAAACTTAGTTAAAAGTCTATTTCTCAAGAAGATAAATAAACTAAAATCAAATAGTATTTAAAATAAATATGTTTATTAAATCAGACGATAATGAAAGAAAGATTCATTGAATATGGAAAAGAATATTTTATTACAAAATAAGAATAAACTAACTGATTCAATAAATTCATCAAAATTAATAAAAGAAATTAAACAAAAAGAGAGAGTTAATGATATGATAAAAAAGAAAACAAATTATTTTCCAAATATCTTCTTAAAGATACTACCATTATGCTTTCTTTTTTCTTTATCTTTTTTGTCTTTCTTGTCTTTTTTATCTTTCTTATCCCCTGTTTCATCTTCCATTCCAAGTGCCACTTTTGCTGCCATTTCAAACACTTCATTTAGTCCATTCTATTTGTTTTATTAAAACTGATTTATTTCTTCAATGAGAAATTCATAATAAAAACAAACTTGATTTGCTGCTGAACATTCTGCAAATCCTTTTGCACCAATTTCATTTGCCATAATTTCAATAGACTCTTTTTTAACAAGGTCTTTTCCTTGTTTTTTCAATGTATCAATTAATTTTTGACTATCACGTATATCACATTTTGTTCCTACTAATATGATACGTGGGTCATCATTTTGACAATGTTCTCTAATTTCTGGAACCCATTTTGTTTTGATACGTTCAAATGATTCCTCCTCTGCAACAGAAAAACAAATCATAAAACAATCAGTATCAGTATAACTTAAAGGTCTCATCTCATCAAGATCATCAGACCCAGAAGTATCCCAAAGGTTCATTTGAATGGCTTTTCCTTCCACCGAAATTGGAGCAGTGTAATTGTCAAATACAGTTGGAACATAAGAATCAGGAAAACTATTTGTTGTGTATGTCAACAATAAACAAGTTTTACCAACGTTTGTGTCTCCAATAACAATTACTTTAACCTCGGCGGTCATTAAATCAAATTTCTTAGTTTCCTTAGTTCCATTTGAGCATACTTTTTGTTTTGATTCCTATTTTTATTTGGTGTTATAATTTTACATTTCAGTTATTTTTCAGTATGTTTTTAAATATTATCTACTAGTTCTTTTTATCATTTGATATTAAATATCCATTCAGTACATTTAGTCTCTTTTTTTAAAAAACTCATTCTAATTTTCTCCATTCATTTTATTCCATTTTTCCTTCTCTTTCATATCTTTTACTTATACTATTTATATCTTTCTCTATTCTAAATATAATATTATCTTTAAACTAAAAAAACACAAAATAAAAATCTTATATGATGATTTGCTTTGTTTGAATGCCATTTTTGAGATATTTTAAAAGATTATTTTTGTTGACTTTTTCTATCTACAAATAAAATTTATTTCTTCTAAATCCCTTGTTAAAAAGTAGTTCATGTCTTCTGTATTATTGAGATAAATTCTTTGGTGTACTTAATAAGTTTAATACCTCTCTTTGTTATAAAAAGATGAATGTTCTTTATTCTTAAGACACATTAATTAAAAAAACATTATTTTACTACCATGTCTAACTATAAGAAATGTTTTATCACTTTTAAACTCAATAATTCTTTATTACTTCTACATTAATAATGAATTAAATAAAACTTACTTTAAGTGTTTTCTTCAAATAACATTATAAATTAATAAACTATTAAACAATTGTTTGTTATTAAAAAAGGTATGTTTAAAATCTAAATCATATTAGTTTTTAGATTTAAGTGATATTTATTATCTTTCTTTTATTTTTAAGTTTTCTAATGTAAGACAGATTAATGAAACATAAACTTGATGCCTTCAATCAATGGCAGAAATTTCTTTGGTGCAGTGTTGTTGTAATAATAATAAGAAAGTCAATGAAAACCAATTTATTTGAAATGAATCTAATAAACTAATTAATTATTTAGATAATTTGAAACCAAATGAAAAAGATATGTAAATTTTCATGAAATAACAATAAGTTTATAGTAATAAATGACTTAATTAGCTCAGTTTTCTTCGGTAGCCACAGTAGCTTTCTTATGAACTTTCCGTTTAACAATTTTTCTAACTTTCTTAACAGGTTCATCTTCAGGTTTGTCTTGAGCTAACTTACGTTCTTCAGCCAAATCTTTTTCAAAATCAACTTCCATAGTTTCCTTTCTAGACTTTTTTACTTTCTTAACCTTCTTTATTGGTTTAATCATATCTTCTGCCATACCTTCAACCATGGCTTCTTGTTGTTTTTTCTTTGCCTCACGTTCTTTGGCTTTTCTTTCTTGTTCTTCCATTTTTCTTTTCTTTTCTGCTTCTTTCTTTGCTTCTTTCTCAGCTTTTGCCTTATCATCTTGGTACATTTGCTCTGCTTTTTCATAACTTTCATAAAAGTCTTTAAAATTCTTAAAGAAATCTTCACTTTTAGGCAATTTACTTGTATCCTCACCATATAATTGGCACACTTTTGAATATTGAACATCATATTTCTTTTTATCATTTTCAAGGACTAACATATTAGTCGAATACCCTGAATTAAGTTGTGATAATTCTGCAACAAATCCTTCGTTTCCTGGTGTTTTTTGTAATTGAGCAATAGTTGCATCAAATCCTGCAACTGTTTTCTTTAATTCAGCGAATGTTGACTCAACTTCACTTCCCATAACACGTACTGCTGGTACAACAGCTTCAACTTCCTCCATCCAATGAGATAAATCTGGGTGCTTCTCATGAATATATTTACACAAGAAATAAACTAAATTCTTTTGGTTGTCATTAGACTTGGTATCTGCTAACTTTCCTAAAACACTCATTTTAAAACCACAAGTAATTGGCTTTTTACTTGCTTTATTCATATAATTACCAATAATTAAAATTACTTCAAGTAATTTTAAGAATGACTTACTTTCACATAATTGTGTTGATGCTGTTAATAATGTTTTTACGTTTCGAGAACAGTCATCAAATTTACTTGGGAATTGAAGCAACTTCATCATAACATCTAATTTCTTCTCTGCATTAGAACATTGACTTAATTTATATGAGAATATTTCAGACGGGTCTAATTGTTTTCCAACATACTTTTCAGGGTGTTCATAATAATCTTTTAAGAGCCCAGGTTCATCTTTGTCTGATGACGCAATTGGAAGTGCATTTTTGAGACCTTCTATTAAAGAAACTTCATCAAATAGAGTCATGTCTAGTGAATTGATATTATCAATGATGGTTTCCACAGACACTCCTTTAAATTTGTTCAACATAATATTAATGTTTTGTGATTTCTTTCCATCAAATATGCCAACGTATTGAATTTTATTTGACTTACTTGTGTCTTCTTTTTTTACTACAACTTCTTTTTGTTTAAACATTTCCTCTAAGTCGTCAAAACATTCACTAACAGCAACATCCCCTTCCATTTTACTAAATATTGTATTAGTTAATTGTCTTTCTGGGATTTTTTGCCATTGGACAGCCTTTAACTTGTTCTTTGGTTGTTTTAATTTACTTAATGTTGTTTGAACTTTAAGTGCAGGTGCTCCAGGTGGTCTAAATCCAAATCCAGGAGGGGGTGGAGGCATACCTGGCATTCCAGGGGGTGGTGGAGGAGGTGGCATACCAGGCATT